GAGAAGCCTCTCCTTCCCCACATCCCTGCTTAGAAGCTGACCGCAGAACTGCAGGCACAAACGAAACTGGTTATGCCACATTGACCCTGTAATAACAGCAAAGGTACAAGTGAACTACAAGGTGAACTCCATGAGGCCGCTGTACATAAATCTGTAAGTGCCACACCTTTCAGTGCTGCCCATGATGTGACTAGACTCCTAGTAGAATGAGCCACCAGGTCCCTGGAACTGGTAAGCTCTGGGTGGAGTATACTTGTGCAATAGTGTCCAATATCCAGTGTGAGAGACGCTGCTTCAAGATTGGTCGTCCAATGCTTTGTTTTTATCAAAACACAGAAACAACTGAGTATGTCACTCTCGCAACTCCTGTGTGAGCTCAATGTATGTGCAGAGTGCTCTTACTGGGCACAGACTAGAAAGGTCAAGTCCTGTAGATAAGGAATCTGGGTCAGGTTTAAAGGCTGCAAGTTCAACTTCCTGATTGACTGTGCAAGGATTGAGAATCTTGGGGAAAAAAGCCGGATTCGGCCAGAGAGAGACCCCTGAGTAATCTGTTTTCCATCTCAAACAATTGTCACTTACTGACAAAGCATGTAGCTCGCCCACTCTTTTTGCTGAACTGATAGCCAGAAGGAAAACTGTTTTCCATGTTAATGATCTAAGATCAGCCTGGGCCAATGGTTCAAATGGGGCTTTAGTCAATGACTGTAGAACCAAAGGGAGATCCCAGGATGGTGATCTTAACTTCCTCTGGATGGAGGCGTCGTGCACCTTTAAAAAGTTGAGACACAATGCATGTTTACCAATTGACAAGCCTTGCACAACATTGTGGAAATGAAAAACAGCTGCATCATAAACTCTAACAGTGTTGACTTTATTTCCTGAGTCTAACAGTGAATGAAGAATGCACAGAATAAACTCAAGACCACAACCAGTGGGATCTGGTTCCCACTGATCCCATCATATATTGTAAGCATATAACAATCCTTCCGGCCACTCGTGAGACAGTGCATCCACTCCCAAAGGTCCACCTTGGTCGCTCATCGCAAACCACATCTTGCAATGAGTTGTCTTGGCTGATGCTAACAGATCGGTATGAGCTCTCCCAAACCTGTCCCATATCAGACCTACCATCTCTGGATGCCAGCGCCATTGCCCTGGGGGAGGCCCGTTTGAGAGAGGAGATCGGCAGCCCGGTTCACTACACCCAGTATGTAGATTGCCCTGATTGAGGCGAGTTTTGGATGGGCCCAAAACAGAAGTCTGCAGTCTTGCAGAAAATGAATCAGTTGTTTCAAGGCCATGTAAACTGCCCTTAACTCTAACACATTGATATGCTCCATGTTCCAGGGAAACACCCATGAGCCTCTCACTGTTCTGCCTTGCCAGACAGCCCCCCAACCAGTCAGAGACGCATCCGTTGTCACCACCATCCTCCTTGCTGGTATGTTCCCCAGAGGGACCCCTTGGCCCAATTTCTTTTTGCTCAACCAGGGGTGCAAGGCCTGAATGCATTTCCGTGTGACTTTGAATTTGGGGTGGAGTTGAAACTTGTTGATCCACCACTATAGTGGTCATGCTTTGAGCAACCCAAGAGGCACTATTTTTATTGCCGATGATATCATCCCCAATAATTTTTGAAACTGTGCCAACTCTATCCACTTGCATCTCAGGTCTAAGATGGGTCGGAGACCACCATCTTTTTTGGGCACAAGGAAATAATTAGAATAAAACCCAGTGAGCTGTTCATTGGGCTTTAGCTAAGAAATTGCCTTCTTTTTTAGAAGGGTCGCAATTTCTTCTGATAAAATCTGTGCCTGGACTTGTTTTTTTACCACAGTCACGTGTACTCCTAAAAATGGCGGAGGTCGATGCCGGAACTGAATTCTGTAACCATTTTTTAACTGTAGACAGTACCCAATGGTCTGAAATGTTTTCCTCCCAACTGTCCAGGCATAGTTGGGAGCACATTCCGGCCACCCTTTGGTATTGCTACGCAGTCCCTCCTTGGGGGCCTGAGCCCCTGGGATTCCGCTTTCTCTGCGGTGCATCCCTAACTGATGACCGGGACTAAGCCACCTGTTTGCGCCATGGTTCCCCCCTGCACTTCGACTGTCATCAAATCTCCAAAAATTACTATTCTGTCTTCCACCAAACTCCCATGGTTGTGGCCGATTAAAGTGGGGAGGCTGAGGTGACTGACAGCCTTGATATGACTGCCTAGTTATCCTAGAGCGACCAAATGTGCGCTGCACTGACTCTATTCTACAACGCGTTTGTTCTGCTTTGTCAAGCATTGCTTGAGAATCTGGGTGAAAACCCCGACCAGGAGTAACTGGCATATAAGTCAGTTCTTTTCTGATAGTGTCAGGCAGGGAGGTTTGTGCTAACCAGATCTGCCTACGAGAAAGTATTGCCGATGACATGGAGGCACCAACGTCCCTAGTAAGCTGTGCATGTGTAGCAAGGGCTGCATCCACCAAACCTAAAATGTCCCGATCTTCCCGACTTATAATTTTTCTCAGAGCAGCCAAAATTATGGCTAGTGCATTACCAGACCGCAATCAGTGCGGCCACATTATAAGTCCGACACGACAGATTATCGGTGACCATCATGAGGATGCAAAGTAGGATGACAGTAACATCACAATGGTTGACTCATGATTGTTGAATATCCGGTACAGCTGCATACAGCATTACACAAATAACACACAAAATATAAATACCTTACTCCTGCGAACAGGAATTTGTTAGCAAGTAATGTGTGCAAACACAACCAAAAGCCAAATCAAATCTCACTCAATCCACTGCAAATAGTATCACAGTGCAAGCATGTTAAGGTCGCAATTTCTTCTGATAAAATCTGTGCCTGGACTTGTTTTTTTACCACAGTCACGTGTACTCCTAAAAATGGCGGAGGTCGATGCCGGAACTGAATTCTGTAACCATTTTTTAACTGTAGACAGTACCCAATGGTCTGAAATGTTTTCCTCCCAACTGTCCAGGCATAGTTGGGAGCACATTCCGGCCACCCTTTGGTATTGCTACGCAGTCCCTCCTTGGGGGCCTGAGCCCCTGGGATTCCGCTTTCTCTGCGGTGCATCCCTAACTGATGACCGGGACTAAGCCACCTGTTTGCGCCATGGTTCCCCCCTGCACTTCGACTGTCATCAAATCTCCAAAAATTACTATTCTGTCTTCCACCAAACTCCCATGGTTGTGGCCGATTAAAGTGGGGAGGCTGAGGTGACTGACAGCCTTGATATGACTGCCTAGTTATCCTAGAGCGACCAAATGTGCGCTGCACTGACTCTATTCTACAACGCGTTTGTTCTGCTTTGTCAAGCATTGCTTGAGAATCTGGGTGAAAACCCCGACCAGGAGTAACTGGCATATAAGTCAGTTCTTTTCTGATAGTGTCAGGCAGGGAGGTTTGTGCTAACCAGATCTGTCTACGAGAAAGTATTGCAGATGACATAGAGGCACCAATGTCCCTAGTAAGCTGTGCATGTGTAGCAAGGGCTGCATCCACCAAACCTAAAATGTCCCGATCTTCCCGACTTATAATTTTTCTCAGAGCAGCCAAAATTATGGCTAGTGCATTACCAGACCGCAATCAGTGCGGCCACATTATAAGTCCGACACGACAGATTATCGGTGACCATCATGAGGATGCAAAGTAGGATGACAGTAACATCACAATGGTTGACTCATGATTGTTGAATATCCGGTACAGCTGCATACAGCATTACACAAATAACACACAAAATATAAATACCTTACTCCTGCGAACAGGAATTTGTTAGCAAGTAATGTGTGCAAACACAACCAAAAGCCAAATCAAATCTCACTCAATCCACTGCAAATAGTATCACAGTGCAAGCATGTTAATTCTCAGTTCGTTCAGTCAATAAGACAAACTAGATCAATTAGGAGGTACCGACACATATTCTATGCGTGAACGCACAGAACAATAGGGGTGTATTCCAGAAAGCAGGTTTTGTTGAAAACTCAGAGTCTGCTAACCCCAGAAAAGGGAAACTCAGGGTTTTGGTTCCAATAAAAGACAAAACTAAACCTCTCGGTTTAGAAAACTAAACCTCTCGGTTACCATAGTAACTTACTCTGTGAACCTAACTTGGTCGGGAGCAGGTTTTCCTCTGTAAACCCAGAGTTTCTTTCGGTCTCCTCCCCATTTATTAAAGCGTAAGCGATGTTTAAATACCTCATTCATTTATTCATTCAAGCTGCAAAAATGCTTTTATTGCTGAGATTCTTGCCTTATCTATCTATCTATCTATCTATCTATCTATCTATCTATCTATCTATCTATCTCTATATATATATACTGTATATATATAGAAAATAGAATACAATATTTAGTCTTGTTTCCTGGGGGAAATAAGTAAAATTATCTGCCAATGGGGTAAGAAAAATAATCTTAATGCAAATGGAATCAGGATTATTTTTTTCTGACCGTACCACTTTCATGTTCATCATGCAGACACTGTAAATGTGACAAAAAATGGCATGTTATTTTACACGGGATCCTGTAGATTATTATTAATAAGGCTGCATCAATTTGCAGGGAGTTACATTTACATCAGGAGAGGATTTAATTTAATTTTTTTTAGTTTATTTCATTTTGCCATATCCACATGCATATTTATTTGAGTGGTACCACTTTTAAATGACGTTCAATTGATAACATATTGCACATGTGCATTGATTACACACATGCAGTATTCTCACCATTGCACCTTCCGAAAATGAAACTGATTACTGCATGGAATGGAAGGATGCCAGATGGAAGGGTAGTGCGAGATATATGCCATAACCACCACCACAGCTGTTAAATAATCATAAATTATTGACAATTAATTTGGCCATATTTATTTCCTACAAATAAAAAGCAACACATTCTTTTCCCTGTTGAATTTTAATATTGGTACTGTGGCCATCTCCTCTTCATCTGTCAGTGGTGCTGGTGCAGGTTCTCCCCCCATTTTACGAGTCTCTGCCTTCTTGCTGTTGGCTGAATAGAAGTCAAATGTTTATTTCATTACCCTAATTAAGAAATGTATGTTGGATTAGAGAACATTTAATTATGTGAAAAGAGCATTAGACTATGTGGAAAAAGCCACTGCACACTGAAATAGACACTGAATGATATTTATTGAATATGTCAAATGTTTGTAAAGTCATGTAGCCTACACCCATGAACCTTTTACACTTGAAACTTTACTTGATTGAATTATGTTTTTATGTTTAATTTTTTCTGCTGCCATGTTTTTTCTTCTTTTTTTCTTTTTTGCCTGTGGGATACCATGAAAATGAAGATTAGTTCAATAACTTACTGTTCTGCCAGTTTTCACCTCTGATATTATAACAGTGATTAAGAATTAAATTTACGTATTGCGTGGTTTGCTGAAGTCTTTTTGTCGGGTGCTGTTGCCATGGTGAATCATAATTTCGGAGCTCCATTGATAATGGCTTTTCAAAGTCGTGGTGCACGTGCTAAACTCTGTCAACGTACTCAGAATGGATTGAACTAAATCTGTTCAGCCAACCAAAAACTCAGAGTTTCCCATCTTAGGGTAAGTCAACTCAGAGTTCAAGTTTTAAATCAGAGTTTGTTGAACCTCCTTTCTGGAATACACCCCTGGTGGGAAAGTCCCCCCGCTGCGAACAGCACGGAACAGTGTAAACAAAACTCCTCCTTTAGTTTTATGAATAATAGAACAAAAAAAGCTACTTACCAATCCGTACGCTTCCAAAAGTGCCAGAATACAATCTGTAAACAAATATCAAACTCATAATTCAGAATAATATAAACACCAACCACTTACCTAAATATAGAGGGAAAAAAGGGATTTTTTTTACCGCAATCCTCAAGGGCACCAGACGCCTGCACTATAGTGACGGATTGAATGGGTAATATTCCAATATCATCATATACACGCGGATTCTCCGAACCGGTCTCAGAAGAGGCGAGAAAGGCAAAGAGGAAGTGCTTTGTTCACCCGGATGTTTTATAGTGAACCAACCACTCAGGGTCAGTCACCTGACTTTGTTTACATTAGGTCTTGGAAGGGTAGCAGAATGGCATGATTCAAGGTAAGACTGTGGTGATGGTCTGAGTGAGGTCGAAATAGATCACACCGGTGTGATCGTATGCGTCAAAGGGTTAAAAAAAACTAATTAAATATATTTTAATAATGTAAATGTAAGTATTTTATTATATAAAAGTGTAACCAACATTAAAGTATGTTTTAGTTAAAATGTTTGTCAGTACATTCAGGATTAACTTTAACCATATTTCAAAGACAACAGAAGTAATTATGAAATTACATATAAAGATGTACTTAAGTCTCACTTAAGTGGGTCACAAATCACTCTTTAGCTAATTGCATTTCATGTAAATTTAAACTGTAATGCATTTGAAATCAGTTACAAATAATATGCATTTTGGTTTTTGAAAAACTTTATATTTAATTCACACTTAAGTGTTTACTTTTAAAGTATATTATTTGTGTAATAAGTACACCTTATAAAAGTATGCTAAAGTTCACTTCTTTTTCACAAGGGGCAGTATATAGTATATATACTATATATTTTAAAGGTTTTTAATTGCATCTGTCAATAAATAAACACATAAGTACTTTAATGTGCATTTCCTTGAAAAGGTAACTTGACTATCACTTCTCTTGACTGGAGGAAATAACATAACCTTTCATTCTTCAGACGTTTTTATTCAAAGCTACATGCCAATGAGGAATAGTACAACACCATTGTCAGTCTCCGTTCCATGTTTTGTGTGTGTTTTGCCCCATGTGACCCAGTTTCTCCCTCATGTTGATTTGTTCATTTGATTCCAGGTGTGTCTCCTTAGTCCCTCGTTATCCTGTGTTTAAAAACCCCAGTCCTTTCAGTTAGTGTTGTCGGTTGTTGAATTGTCTTCCTGGATGTCACGCCTGAGTTCCTGTGTTTGTTTCCCTGTGTTCATTGTATTAAAGTCCATGTTGAAGTTTATCCCTCGCTCCTTCGTTCCAGTCCTCATTGTGTGAAGCATGACAACCATGAGTGCTGTGTTTTTAATTGTTGGTTTAATTATGTAATTATGTACTAGACAAATGTATTTGGCCTTTGAGCAGTTTCTCATCATGGATAAATGTTGTACCAAGAAAAGTATCTAAAGTGCATTTAACGTGTACATTAGCAACAGTGTATGGGGCTTAATGCATCCATAGTGATTCCTATTAGTGCTGAATGTGTCATGTGGTGAGGGCAAACACAAACATAATGTAAAAATATACAGTAGCCGCAAACAACAATCATCAGGATCCAAGCAGTGATGGCTCATGTGCCATGTATCATTGCAACTATTATGTGTTTTTGAAAAAAAAAAGAAAAAAAACAGTCTGGAATCTCCACTGATGCTATAAGTTCGGGTTTGATCAATCAACTTACAGGAATACATCATATTTCCATAAGAGACAGCTGACCGAAAAAAATAAATAAAATAAAAAAATAATTAAAACTGATGGAAAATATTTGAAAGACCAAAAGGGATTTATTATCCATATGGACAACATAGTATTCCTGCCCCTAAGCTGTCATTCCCATCAATTCAATTAGGTGGCATCAAATGACGCCAGGCCATTTAATTGGCTTACATATTTGGAATGCTTTTATAGATCAAAATTCTGTTCCTAAATTCTTATCAGGAGGATTTTGCGCTGATGCATGCCAAGTTGCTTGCAAATTGGACCAATGATCTAGAAGGAGTTCAAAAGGAAAAAAAATTCAGGACCCACTTTATATTAAGTTTCATCAACTACTATGTACTATAATTTAAATTAATCATTAATCACAATGCACTTATTGTGCAGTTACTGTACGTACATGTATTTACACTTTACTTGTTTAAAATTATCTGCTTGTAATTACATCTTTAATCAATATCTGTAGTTACATCTACAGTATAATTACTCGATTGTGCGTTTCCCAAAAGGAACTATGGTCAAAAGTTCCATCATTACCAATAGAGTTCAATGAAACTAATGACCATAGTTAGCTAACGATGCTTTTGGGAAATGCACCCTAGACCATCAAATCTGTGCCTAACTTTAACCGTATCCCACCTCAATAGCAGCAAAATATTTTACAGCTGAACAATAACATACAATTAATCTTTTTTGACACAGTAGTTAAAGACGCCTAACATAAAGCAGGTCCACAATTCAAAATGGCCAAATTTCAATATTTCTCAGGGGTAAACAAATCATATACAGATTCATGTAGCGCTTGACTCAAGGATTCAGATTGTTTATGATTCCAGAGTTATTAACTAAAACACAAATGTACTCACCATATTGCCACCTAATGTCTGACACACAGGTATGGGGACATCTGAATACTCAAGGAGATTTGGAAACATCCCACCAAGTTTGAGACGTATACGAATTACGCCCAGACACTTTTAGGGCAGAAGAAGAATAATTGGCAAAACAGTACAAGTACAATTGGGTTCCAGCACCTTATGTGAACTGTGTAAGTTAGTCTCTCTTACAAACTTTTGTAAGTTTGAAACAGGGCTAGTTATCAGCCCGTCTTGGTACATGTCTGTCATCTCATTTCACTGCAAACGTCTGATATATCAACCAACATTATCATTGAGATCTCTAAGACTGACACTTTTAGGGCAGAAAAAGAAAATCTAGCAAAACAGTACAAATACAATATACTTCCTATTCTTGGACCCCTAATAACACCAGTTCTGCACACCAGGCAGTATGAATAATTTGTATTATTGTAATTGCACTACTGCAATCTGCAAGTTAACTGTGATTTGTCTGTTATGACACTTAACTGAAACATATTTCTGCCACCTTCCTGTATAGCTCAAACAATAAAACATTGTGCTAACCAAGCAAAGGTCTGGAGTTCGAATCTCAAGGAAATCAAAGAACTGATAAAAATGTATATCTTGAATACAACGCAAGTTCCAAATGCAATGTAAATGTAAATACTGTCTGTGCATGACCCTGATGGCTATTACGGTGCAAATTTAAAAAGTGATGTATTACTTTACTCATTATTTGAAAAAAGTCATCTGAGTATGGATTATGCATTACATTTCAAACACTGATGATAAAACTAATAAGATATATGATCTTTATCAACCAACATTACCATTGAGATCTGTACAACTGACGGTCACTGACACCAAGTCACTTTTAGAGCAAAAATAAATCAATAATTAGAAAATTTAATAATAATAATAATAATAATAATGCAAAACTGTGCAAATACAATAAGTTCCAGCATCTTCAGAGGACCCTAATAACACCAACTCTGCACACCTGACCGTATAAGTAGTTTCTATTATTGTAACTGCATTACTGCAATCTGTTAGTTAAATGTGATTTGTCTGTTATGGCACTTCTCTGAAACATAGAGCCAGCGCCTTCTTGTAGCTCAAACAATGGAGCATTGCACTAACAAATCAATGGTCATGAGTTCAAGCAAAAATTGCAAGAATAGCTCAAATGTGTATCTTGAATCCAATCTAAGGTGCTTTCGATAAAAGCATCTGCGAAATGCAATGTAAATACTTTCTGTGCACAGCCCTGATGGCTATTATGGTGTACATTTAAAAAGTGTCGTTTTACTTTAATAATTATTTTAAAATTGTTATATGATTATGTAATGTGCATTACATTTAAAACACTGACAATAAAACTAATCTGACATAAAATTGTTATCAACCAACACTACTATGTGATCAAATTTGAGATCTCTTAGACTGACGTTCTCTGACATCCTGACACTTTTAGGGAAGAAAAAGAAATATTGGCAAAATAGTACAAATACAGTAGAGTTCCAGCATCTTCATAGCTTGGACTCCTAATAACCCCAGTTCTGCACTCCAGGCAGCACAAATAGTTTATATTATTGTAATTGCACTATTGCAGTCTGCTAGTTAACTCCAGTTTGTCTATTATCGTAGTTTTCTGGAATAAAGTATGAACTGTGTAGGACAGAATCCTTCTTTCAAACTTTCATGAGTTTCATAAAAGCCACTGCGTTCCTGTATCTCAACCAGTAGAGCATTGCACTAACGATGCAATGGTCATGGCTTCAATTCCCAGGGAGAGCAAGGATTGAGAAATGTGTAATCAGTACAAGTCACTTTGAATAAAATCATCTGCCAACTGCAATGCAGTGTAAATGTCTGTGCATGGCCATGATGTGTGTACATTTGAGAAAAGCCATCTGATTATGCAAAGTGCTTATGTTATATGATCGCTATCAACCAACATTATCATGTCAGCAAATTCTAAAACACAAGCAGAGAACACAGATGAGCTGGTATCTCCACAGCTCTCTCTTCCACCTCCGGCCCGTTTGAAAACGTGCCCTGTTGTTTTGATGGTGGAAATGTTGGCTAAGCATCTTGGCCTGACAGTTTACAGTTGCTCAGCTCCCTTAGGATCGGCATTGCCAGTCCATTAAGTGTGAAGTGGGATCAGGTTTTCCACCAGGCTGGGTCCAAACATCCATCTTGTCACACTTTAACAATGCACTTTACTGAAAGGCCCAGTGCTTTAGGATGTCTGCTTCTTCCCCAGAGATGTGAAACGATCAGAAAAGTGTCAAAACAGCGCTGACCGGTGTCCATATATGGCTGCACGAGGCCACAGTTCAACATGCTCATCCCTGCCAGTGAGCAATGCGCGCCATTGCGATGTGCGATTCCTACATTGTTCGTGTGAAACTTAATTTGGTCCGTGCCTGATAAAGTGCAGCTGTCTTAACGGATGGCATCAACAAGAAAAGTGATGCCTTAAAGATGTAGCAGAGTGATAATTGCTACACTGCACTTATTTAGGTTGACTGAAAGGCATCGTCTATTTTTAGCATACTTGGTGCGAGTATGCTGATGCATAGGCTACTGCAAAACCTCCTTAACTAGTTGTTCATC